ATGTAAAAATTAAGCTAGCCAATACACTACCATATTATATTTCATTTTATGTTTGATCCATCATTCATTCCATTTAACACACAAGTACACACACGCACACAGTGTACCTGTTAATTCATTTCTTATCCATTCCATACTCTTATTTACTCCATTTCCATCATACCTCAACCTTAACACTATGCATTATAACATTTTATTTCTCATCTTATTATATAACTAAGCCCTTGTTTGGACCCCGTTAAATTAAATTTTATTTTTCTCTCTTATTTTCAACCACACAATCTTTCATAAAATAATATTATACATAAACCAAAAGCTTTTCATTCTTTTTTAATCACATATTCTCCAAAAAAATATTATTTCACCAATTAAAATTTAAAATAATGGGGAACAAACGGGGGCTAAATCAAAATAATTTTAGTTTAAGTCTCAAGTGCTAAATTTTTTTCTCCAAGTGGCCCAATTTCTACAACCAATATCATGATAATATTAGTTACTATTATACCAAATCAGCCATCCGTACCCTTTTATTCTTTAATTACTTCAAACTATTTTTCTCCATTTCTCTCTTTTTTCACCAGCTTTTCCCCAAATCTCTTTCTCACAATCTTGGATAATGCAAGCTATGTAAACTAAACTCATTATTTCTTGAAATGACTTATAGATTTATTTTTTTTTAATAATCCTAAACATAAAAGAAATCCATGCTATCCAACCAACATTTATTGTACTGAAAAAAATAACTGTATATAATCAATATGATTCTCCATTAATTACTCAAAATCCAACAAATTCTTCTTTTATAAAATCCTTTCAAGAATCAAAGATAGGATTTATTTTACTTATTCATAAATGTCTTTTTATCTTAACTAAGTTTTCCTCCAAACCATCTTCTATATAATCTTTAATAGTACCAATTAAATAAAATAAAACTCATTATTTCTCGCAATAACTTATAAATTTCTAAAACTTATATAATTAAGAATTGGAAATAAAACTATTATTATTCATCATCCTTGATTTCATTAATCTTAAATTTAACTCTCATTTTATCTTCCTCAAAATTATATATAAAAAAATCATAAACTAAGAATTTTAATTCTTATAAATAAATAAACCAATTAAATACTTTAAAAAAAAATAATTAACTAAACAAAAGAAGAAGGAACATACCTCGAAGCAAAAGGCATGTCCCCTTGTACATTAATCCCTTATTATAGGGATGATAAGGGTTAAACGTACAATTTCTAAAATTTCGCTTTTAACCCTTAGGGTAAAAATGCAATTATCTCATTTCATTATAAAATTGTACTTTTGAGTCTTGGGTAAATATGCAATTATCCCATTTCTTAAAATTGCACTTCCAAATCCCATTGTACTATTTGAATTAAAATACCTATAATATTTATTCCATCAATTCAATTAAGTCCCAAAAATTTTTAAGTTTTTTTAAAATATTAAAAATCTTTGCTAGAAAATTTCGGAATGTTACAAGCGTGTTTTTTTACATTAGTTCGAAAAGGACAACCATAAGGACAAAATCATCCGATATTTTTTCCACCTCCATAGACTGCTTATTGGATCTGCTAAGGTAGCTTTTCAAGGATTCGATGCGTCTTTGTTTATTACTTACAAGGCGTTCCTTGGGCATTGTTCTGGTTTTTGGAGCCCATGAACTAAGATAAGAATTCCTTAGCCAAGACATTCCAATTTTTTATAGACCTTTGGTGCAATCTTCTAAACTATCTTTGAGCTTTGTCCCCTAATGCTAAGGGAAAAACTAGACACGTGATGGCTTCGCTAGATCCTTGTAGTTCCATCCAGGACATGTATTTGTCTAGATGGCTTAGGAATTCTCCTTCCCCATCGTAGCCGATGAGTTGAGGCACGTTTAACTTTTTAAACAATGGCTCAGCTAATATTTCTTTTGTGAAAAGGGAATGGCGACCAGTAAAGTACTCATCAAAGCAACTCTTGTGTTTGGCCTCCACGTTGGCTATGCTTTTTTTAGTAGGTTCATCTCATGTCATTCATTTTTTGAGCTATGTCGTTTGAGGGGATTGATTCTCCTGCTTTTAGGTGATGGTGATCGTTGGGAGCCCATTCTATCGAAAACCCTTCCAGCTTTTTTGTGAGTCCTTGTTGGAGGACTATTTCTTATCTCATTCATCCTACTCCCAGACGACTCTTCACCTGAGAAGTTAAGACTTCTCCTAGTGGGAGATCTGCCAGTTCGTTCTCGAGTTGGAGATTCCACCTTAGTATCAATTGGAGTTGTGGACCAGGTTTCTTTCCATTATGCTATCTATGTTAGTCAGATGTTCTATTTCTTCCCTCATTGCAGCGAGCTAAGGTTTAATGTTTTCGGTAGAATCATTTTTCCTTTGGAATTTGTGAGGCATATTTGTGACGCGAGAGTTAGTTCGAGCTGGATTTCTAGAGGTGGAATTGTTGCTGATAGTGATTTTTTAGGTAGGATACTGAGAATGTTTATGAAAGATATGGGATTGTTGCTTACAAGGTCCGAACTGTTGGCATCAAAAAATGACTAGGCCACTTTTTGTCAGCTTAATTGATGATTTAGAAGAGGTAATTTGAGCTGAAATGTGTAAATTGTGCTAAAATAGTAAAATATTGCTAAAAAAAATAAGAAAAAAGTGTTTTCGCAATAAATGGAAAGAGTTGGAATTGAGTTTCATGCAATGGTCAAGTTCGATCACTATGTGAGACCATTATATCCCCATTTAGGGAATAGGCAAATTGGTTAGCGTTGTATCAAATTAGCGACAGTGCCTGTCTTAAGATGTGTGCCATCAATCTTGATTTTGATTGAGTGTTGAGGTCGTTTCCCATGTGCCATGTTGGAGCTGAACTAGGTAGTAATCATTGCAAAGTTGTGATTGGCCATGATTGGAGGTGCCACATTATGTTTGTCATGTGTCCCTAAATGATTGGATTAGCTAAATGTCATGTCGATTTTGGAGTGAGGGAAATCAGCGTGTAATGATGATATTTCCCAAATGATGGTGACAGTTCCTTCCTTTTGAAGATAAGTCGAGCCATGATGGAAATTGTACTGAGCCGGATTAAACTAATTTGAGTGCCCTGTTCTGACGTAATGACCTTTAAACTCAACTCAAAACCAAATTTAATTACTTTATTGAACTTTTGAAATGGAGGAGGTCAACAACTTAAATTTATTGACAATTTAACCTCCATGAGATGAAAACTAAAGGCCACAAAACAGTATATGTAACTAAGATACTTTAACAAATCAATATCGTAGAACTTGCAATTATCATTTTTTTTTTTTTTTGAAAACTAAATTTTATTTGTAAAGATAAGTAATTTTAAAAATTTATATTTAACGAAATAAGTAATACTTTTAAACCAGTGATGTATTAAAAAAAGAATAATTATATTCACACCATGTTTTAATTGTATTAGAAGTTCTTGTATTTTTTACTTATTCTCACACTTCCATTAATTAACATATTTTGTTTTCATTGACATTTTCATTCAAATATCCCGTTAGTGTGTTTTAAAGTAATAAAGCAAATATTAGTTGTACTTTTGTATTTATTTTGTACTTACTTAGAAATGAAGGACTATTAATTCTTTTATGCTATCTTAACAGAATTTTTGGACACAAACGGTTTTCAAAGACAAGATGTATTGATTAAGGAAATATTGTAGATTAAAGAATGAGATTAAAATAAAGTTGGGGATATAAATGTGATAATAAGTAAATGTTAGAAACATTTAATGCAACTATAATATGGGGAAAACTTCTAAGAAAATGTGGTGTCAATACATAGAAAAAACATGTCCACCATAAAATGAAATTGAGCCAACACACAAGGACTTGATGTGCAAATAAATGCACAAATGTGCAATAGTCAGGGTAATTGGCGCATTTAGTCCCTAATCATTGTCCCTTGTGTGTAATTGGTCCCTAATGTTTCATTTTTGTTGACGAGATCCCATACCTATCACTTGCTTGCATAATCAGTCCTTATGGACGGATTCCATGTTTCCCACAATTCCAATATTCGCAATATTCCCTTGTTTTCTTGACCACGCCATTTGTTTGTTTGGTTTGCTCATCTTTGCCTTCTTCGTGCTCTCCAACATTTGTTTACAGTGCTGAGCTAAAGGATGTCACATGGGGTTTGACCAAAGCTGTTGACCTATAAGTGGAGCAATGGCAGGAAAGTATGTTCTGAGGTAGGCCTCTTGACCAAAGCAGTGAACATAATTTAGCAGGTCTTTGCTAGTTAACTAAAGACTAAAGAGATGACATTGCAAGTGTGAATGAAAAAACTCAATGGCTGCCAACATCTAAACGAACACATTAGAGTTCGAATATCCACCACATTAACAAAAAATGGTAGCAAAATTGTTTGCCTGGTATTGCTTTTTTTTCATTTTTAAAACGGTGTTGGAATTATATTTCGGAAGTTTCTAATAAAATATAGTTTTCGGATTTTCATTCCTAGGGATTGATTATTATTGGGCTGCTTATTATTGAGACCTAAATTAAAACTCCATTGGCATATGATTATGTGAATTATTCGAATATATATGATTGTCATATCATTCTGGTTTTTTGTGCATGAAAATTAACAAATGGCTTGTAGAATATGAGAAATGTAGAGAAACTGTACATCACTTTGTTAACAAATCAAAAACATTCTACAGCATCCGAGGTTGCAACTTCTTTATAGGACACTGTATTCTCTGAGGTTTTTCAGAAAGGTGTCTCCAACTTTAGAGTCTTTGACAAAAATGGCTGGGTATCCGATTGGAGCTTCCAAGGTTCCACCCAAGCCATGAAACCTCATTTGGGATATAGTTTTCCTGTCCTAAAATGCTGCCGAGAACAGTTTTCTCATTCTGGAAAATAGGCCCTAACCATTTCCTTTCCTTTATCTAGAACAGGCACTACTAGGTTCACTGTGCCTACTAGAAATTACTGATATGTTAATGTATGCACGTCTTCATCTTCTAGATAGTGGAGGAATAAATGGTGACGAACAGGTAAGCTATTTTCAAAGGCTTTCTAATGCAATAAACATTCATGGGGTTAGTTAGATTTCTGTTCCAACTGCATCGAGTTTGTACCATCAACACTGAAATTACCCTAACTAGTTGAATCCTGTAAAACTTCCAAGCATTTTATATCTTGGCAAAGTGTGCGAAATGGGATAAAGTTCTGCGGTTGGAGTAGAACTGGCTGTTGCTAGTTGGTTTGTTTCCCTGATCGAAATGTCAGTAATTATCAAACAATTGTGAAATCTTGTGGCACTAAAAAGAGAAGGATAATAAAATTTAAAAAGCTGAGGTACTACTATGTACAATGATGATAAGATGCCAATTTATTTGTTAAGTACAATTAGATTTGAAGTTGAATTTCCACTTTACCCTTTGAGCAACAACATATACAATATGCACTGAAACGAGCTCCTAGCATGATGATATAAGCAGATTTCTCATCATTCCACTTCGCTTCAGCTTCTTCCAAACGATCATTCACCTTCTCAAATAAATGGTGCACAGTGGCAGCTACTTCTATCACCTTCTCAATGGCCTCCTGCCTCAGCCTTTGCCTTTACCTACAATGGGATGTAAAAGAAAAAGAGCTTAGAGTATTATTCAATGATAAAAGAAGGCACAATAAAAGAAAACTCCCACCTTATCTGAGACCAGAATCAAGTGAAGTATTGACCTATTACCATAGACACTAGCAACAATGCAAGACTCACACTACCAAAAACTGCGGCTTCTGAGACGGAATTTTCCGTCGCTGAAGCCTTAAATTCCGTCGCTAATGACTTTCACAAACGAAATAAATTAGTCAGAAAATCCGTCGGCAATACCCCCACTAATATAGCAACGAATTACTAGGTCGTCAGTGATTTAGCAATGAAAGAAGCAGTCACTATTTTAGCGACAAAATTACCTACAAATTATATCCGTTGATGATTACCAATGGATTTCCATCGCTGTTTCCATCGCTAATTTAAATTATAATATTAAAAAAATATATGATTTTATTTTAATAATTATTTTCTTGAAAACTTCATACATTAATGTTTAAACTGAAACTTTAAAAAAAAAAAAAAAGTTTAAATCCAATAAAAGGTTTTAGCACTAATCCAATAATCAACCCCTATGTATACTCCATGGTTCCGGACAAGCATAGCTGTAGCTTTGTGGTATGATTTAACCTGCAAAACAAGGATCAAAAATCATTTTCCATGGAAGAATTCCACTACTGGAGACATGGAAACATGGTCTCCAAGTCTTTAACAACCAAATTACATACATTTGTATAGGTATGCAAACTTAGATTTATAAATGCAAGTAAGATACTATTTATCACCTCATAGAGAAGCATGTAACCCATCCATACTGAAACTATAACATCAACTTCTTCATCAATTTCAACATCCTGCAATAACCAGAATGTGACTTCCTACGTTTATCCTCTATTTATAAGCAGCAGACAAATTATTCAAGAACTAGTGTAAGGTTCAAAACAAAACCAGAAACAAACAAATGATCGCCATTACTTTTGTCAAACACGCAACTTCAAAAAACAAAATGCATAACATTTTTAGTACAGCTAAAAATGCAAAACCTTAGGGATGTCAAGAACAAAACAAACTTAACTGCTATAGTAATTTAACTTCCAAAAACCATCTTCATTAACAGGGCAGCAACCTAAAATAATATTGTATCCTGGCCTTATTTTGTCCACACCTGTACATAATAAATATTTCACATATTTAAAATTGTTTATGAAATTTCTGTTGATAAGCCTTATCATAAATATTTCACTGCGACAGTAATTTCACTTTCCTTATACTGCCTTCAAAATTCCAATTTTATTTTATTTTTCTGTAACCACTACATTTCCTCTCAATATACCACTTGTTTAGTGAGAAACACTTGCTCAAGAAGTATCTATAAAAATAAAGATATTTGTTTGTTGGGGATTATATGAGAAGCTTCATGTAAACAACATACGAAATTTTGTTCCAAATAACTTTGGGGTTAGCTATATAAAATTCTTTTTGGAAACTCTATTTGATCACAAAACTAACTTCTACTGGCAGCAAAGAGAAGTTGCACCCAGTACATGAAAGCATCAATAAAGATTGCAGGACATCAGGTATTTCATTCCCTACACTCACAAGCATAAGTACTATATAGATTCATGGATATTAAATGGAACCACAAGCACATTTCATCCATTGTCGATGCCTATCATGTTGGAGGAAAGATGGGTTTACTAACTTGGATTGGCTAAGGCTTTTAAGAGGACAACACTAATAGGAAGAAGGAAGTGAAAAAAGGAAACTTGTAT